ATTGATTTTAAATCGGGTTCATTCATAGTCTCCAGTATAGCGTTTTATTATTATTATTATTATTTTTTCACTTTTGAACACGCCAAGCGCTTTTAAATACTCGTTAAAGCGCTTATTCCAGGTTTCTATCCGACGATTCCTTAGGGATAAATACTCGAATTTCGTTGGTGCTGTTTCCGAAGAATCAAGGGCCGTCCCATATAGTGCGATTTCCTGGATGGTTTCCTCTTCTTTTAAATTTTCTTTTATCGAATATGGTGGCATGGCTCCCAGTGATGCTGTAACGACGATCGGAATAGTTTTTGATCTGACGCCTCCCCACATCCTACCCATTTCAGCCTTTTGTCTGCTTCTTTGGCTGTCTGGTGTTTTTTTCCGTCGGCACTGAGACTTCCATTAGCTTACACCATTTTTCCGCATTATGCTTCTCAGGATGATATCCGGTTTGTTGGCTGGCACAGTTCTATCGGTGTGGATTTTTCTTCATCATACATAATTATTATTATTATTATTATTACTGAACAACGCGCGCGCGTACAAAAAAAAATTTTAAATTCCAAATTGGTTGGAAATTACAATAATTCATTTTATTTAATATATTTATTTGTTATTTTATATCCGGTTTTAATTTTTCTTTTTTCTCCAGTTTTCACCTTCTTTATTTTTAATAATAATAATAATAATAATAATAGTAATTGTTATTATTATAATTATTGATTGATTGTTATTAAATCGATTTCATTCCATAATCGAAACGAAAAAACAAAAAAAAAAAAAAAAAAAAAACATCGAGATAATTAATCGATTGATTTGTAAATAATAATAATAATAATATTAATAATAATAATAATAATAAAAGCCCGAATTGAAATTTTCCGATTATTGATTAATTTATAATTGATTTAATTATCATTATTCGAGAGTTATGTAAAAAAAAATTTTTTTTTTTCTTTCTTTTGATTTTTTTCAACCGTCGATTTCTGATTAAATTTTTATTTCAATCGAATTTATTATTATTATTATTTCCGAAACAAAAAATTTACAATTAATAATAATAATAATAACGTGCGTTTGCTTAATTTAATTCGATCGATCGATCAATAATCGAATCGATAATAAAGAATTTTTTTTTTTTAATCGGCTCATCCGCCTTCTTTTTCTTTCCCCCCCCCCCTATCCCGCCGCCCACTTTTTTAACTCGTTTAATCAATTAACAAACAAACAAATAAATCAATAATAATAATAATAATAATTAATAATAATAACGATTTTGACCGGTTTTTCTTTTATCATTTCGAAATGAAAATTTGAGCATCGTTTTTAAATTACAAAAAAAAGAGAAAATAATAGGAACAAACAAAAAACGATCGAAATAATTACAAAATGAATGAATGAATGAATGAATCAATCAATCAATCAAATATTCCTCGATTCCCCCTCCACTTTTCCTTTCGTACAAACAAACAAAGAAACAAACATTCGGTAAATGTTGTCACACAATCGATATAGAAATTATCGTTCGCGATAATAATAATGATAAATAATACTAATGATAATAATAATATAAGAAAGTGATTTCATCATTTTAATTATTCCTTATTAATAAAATTTCCTTTAAAAAAAGGTACAAACAAGTTTTAGAATTTTTCAACATACACACGCGTATGGGCACATTTTATACACCTTAGATTTCCGTTTCGCACGCGCACTCCCCCCCCCACTCACGCATCCACATCCGCTCGATAATTTCCACACGCACGCACACACACACAAAAAACAAATTTTCATAACTCTTTACCTCTTCATCCACCGATTTTTCTTTATTGGGGAGGCTTTTAAAACCTTCGAAACTTTTGCGACGGTATTAATATTATTGATGATGATGATAATGATGACAATACTAATAATAATGATAATAATAATAATTAATAAAAGAATTTTGACAGTTTGACCGTTATTTTTTTTTTTTAAATTCATTTATTATTTATTTTAGTTATATTTATTATCATTGACAACAGAAAAAAAAAAAAAAAAAAAAAAAAAAAAAAAAAAAATTTCAACAAGTCGGGTGGTGACGGTGGTGGTGGTGACGATGGTGCTCGTAATTCTCGTATCTTATTAACGCATTTAATAAAAAAAAAAAAAAAAACAAATCAAATTTTCAAATGTGACGTTTTCCCCCTCCCCCCTCCCCCCTTCGAACTCACCGTGAAATATCAGATTCAAGAAAAAAATAATGATAATAATAATAATAATAAAACGCGCGTAACGATAAAACTAAAATAAAGAAAATAATGATAATGATAATGATAATAATGATAAAAACGCGGCGAAATCACTTTCTTTTTTATGCATCGACGATACACATACAAAAAAAAAAAAAAAAATAATAATAATATTTTTTCCAATTTCATTTTCTTTTTTTTCTTTCTCCCTCTGCTTTGCTTTGTTTGTTTGTTTGTTTGTTACTTTTTTTTTTTTTATTTCGTCATCAACTTTAACTTTTTCTTTTACTCCTCCTCCTACTTCTCCTTCTCCTTCTCTTCCTCCTTCTTCTCCTCCTCCTTCTCCTTCTCTTCCTCCTTCTTCTCCTCCTCCTACTCCTTCTCTTCCTCCTCCTCCTCCTCCTCCTCCTCCTCCTTCTTCCTTCTGTCTACGTAAAGAAAAATTTTTTTTTTCTTTTTCTTTTTTTCTTTTCATTTTTATGAATTTTTTGTTTGTTTTTGTTTTTTTTTGTTTTTTGTTATTTTTTTTTGTTTTTTTTTTCTTCTTCTTTTTTTTTCTTTTTTCTTTTTTCTTTTTTCTTTTTCTTTTTAATTTTTAATTTTTTTTTTTTTGAAACGTTTTTTAATTTATTCAATATCTTCTTCTCTTCTGCTATTTTTCTCACACTTTTTTTTCTTCTCTTTCCTCTTTTCTCTTCCTCTCACACTTTCTCTTTCTTTCTTTCTTTATTTCTTTTGTTTAGTAGTGCGTGAATTTTTGTTTTCTTTCTTTCTTTTTTTTTTTTTTTTTTCGTTTTTTGTTTTAGTTTTTTTTTCCTTTTTTTTTTTTTTTTTTACTTTTTTATTTTTTTCTGATTTCTTGCTTGACAAATGACGACGACGATGGCGACGATGGCGACGACGATGACGACGACGACGACGGGAACAACAACATTAGTCTGTAACCGGAGTTCCTGGAGATCTTGGACTTCTTGCCGTGCTGCTAAAACCTTTTGTGCCATCCGGTCCTTTGGGTTGTCTCACTACCGTCAACTTACGACCTCCTTCGTCGAGAGATATTGTTCTTAGCCGGCTTATCAATCTTTCCGGTCTTGCCTGATTTTTACTGAAATTTTCATAAATTTTTTTGTTTTTTTGTTTTTCTTTTCAAATTCATTCAAATCCGACAACGTCGTGCTGTTGTGCTGTTGTGTTACTCACCTGACTTTGGTGACGTTACATGCTGAAGTCTTTCCGTTTCGGTGATTGGTCACTAAATTAAATTCGACCGTGTCTCCCGGTTGCAACATGGCTCCATCTTTAACTTCCGTCATACGAAAGAAAAGATTTTTCCCATCTTCGACCGCGTATGATAAGAAACCGAAATGACCTTTGACCGCATCCACGGTCGTTTTTATTTTCTTACGCAAGGCAACAATGTTTCCTGCACGACCTTCCGAATCAACTTGAAACTGAACCGGATCACCCGACTGAAGCAATTCCCGCTTGTTCATCAATCCGAGAATTCCAAATTCGTACTCTGATAATTTTTCTTCGTCTGAAAGAACGAATGAATGAATGGATCAATCAATCAAACAAACAAACAAACAAACGTCATCATTTTTACTTTTCACGACTACTCACCGCCGGATGTGGATTTTGTGGGTGGTGGAGGAGGAGGAGTTGTTTGAGTTCCGCTATTTGACGAAGGTTGCACGTTGGACACGCACTGTATCAAACCTGCATAATGTGATTGATCCGGATTGAAACATCTCAGAGGACGTACGACGACGCCGTCGAGAGTCGGACCTGAACAAACGGGAGCCGGAATCGTTCCCTTGGGTAGTAATTTAACATTTTCCGCCGACATGCAACTCCCCGAAGTGCTTCGACTCCCTAAATTATACATGACTTCCTGACACAATTCCAACTTTTCAGGATCACCGTCAAAATTACTAAACGAAAGAGAGAGAGAGAGAGAGAAAATGACGTCATTATTTTCGAAACCATTTCGAATTTTTTTAAAAATTTTTTGATAATTAAAATAGTAATCGTACCTGAAATGAAAAAAAACTTCTTGGTCGTGACTTATGGTTTCGATGAATCCGAAACCATCTTTTAAAGCAGCTATGAAACCTTGACAAGGCGTACCTTTACCCTTTTTATTACTATTACTACTATTATTATTATTATTATTATTATTATTATTCGTTCCGTTAACGACTTTTAATTGATTTTTGCTCGAAACTACTTTGATGTCTACGGCTAGGAACTTTTTGTTTCTCTTGACCTATAATATAGAAAAATACCACGTGAGTAGGAGTAGGTATAATTTTCAAATTTTGTACATCACGTACCTGATTTCATATAAATGATTGTACGTACCTGAACAACGTTAAATTCGACTTTATCTCCCAAACGTGGCGACATTTTCGTGTCGTCGCCGTCATTGTGACAGTACGAAATTGATTTTTTTGTATCACCTTGTTCGTAATTAATTATTCCAGGTTCGGGAGATCTATCTTCTCTACCGGGGGACTGAAAACAAACCAAACGTAAATTAATCTCAAATTCAAACAGAGTAAATCCAGAAAAGAAAAGAAAAAAAAAAAACTATATCTAATACCGTTTTGGTTGGACTTTTACAATTCCACATTTTCGCTTCTTTGGCGATGACACCGGTTAAATTTTCTTCTACCAAAGTTTCAAATTTCACCGTACCTGAATCTAATAGTTTTATTCTAATGGCTGATTGTTTGTTGTTCGGATTACTGTAACTCGAAAGAGTGTCCTAGAAAAAACATAAAAAAAAAAAAAAAAAAAAACATTTTCATTCACTTTTTCTTCTTCCTCCTCCTCCTCCTTCTTCTTCTTGTTAAAGAAAATTGGTGGAAAAGCATAACTTACTTGAACTATGGTAAATTCGACTTCGTCATCGACCTGAGCTTCTTTTTCCACGTCTAAAATTTCGTTTGTGTTAAAAAAAACTTTCATGTCGCGATCCGCGCATTTTATAAATCCGAAACCGTCTTTCAAAGAACAAATTATCCCTTGTTCCCGACGCTCTCCCGACACCAAAAACGATTCTTCCATTAACGAAATATTAACGGCTCTCTGAAGTTGGTCCCTCCGATCCGTAGCGATTCTAAATTGCACCCAATCACCGTGCCTGAAAATTTAATTCATTTTTTTTTAAAATTTTTTTCAGCAATTTAAAGCCTTTTTTTTAGATCGTTTAAAAAATTCTCACGGGTACCTTAGAGTAAAATCCCCGCATTGATCTTTTTCTCCGAATGGTATTTCAACTTCCGAATGATCGGGAGCTCGATAACGTATCCGACCGGGCAACGCATCTTCTTGCAACCTGGCATGAGGCCCTCTTTCCAACGGCTTCAATACCTGACCCTTGACTATTTCGGTACAAACATCTTCAAAGACAACGGATCCGGGTTCGAGGCGGGAAATACTGCAAGCGACTTCTTTTCCCTGTTTGCACGTTTTAATATTTACAATCATCATCATCATTATTTTTCCCCTCCCCTCCCCCTCCCCCCCCTTTTTTTTGATCGGGAAAACTCACGTTTCTCGTTTGAATAAAAAATTGTACATCATCTCCTAAACGTAATTCATCTCCAGCTCCTACTTTGGCCTCGGAAAAGTGAAAGAAAATTTCTTTGACGACATCCGCTCTTTCGATGAATCCAAAACTTTCTTTCATCGAACAAACTACTCCCTGATATTTAATTGGATGAGCAGGATTTTCTAAACGTATGTGACAGGCTCCCAAATTTCCTCTGCGGGGGGAAAAAAAAAAATGATAATAATAATAATAATTTCGAAAGGAAATTCGAAACGAAACGATCGATGATGATATCGAATTTTACCTTTGATTAGCTGCTATTTGAAAACTAACTTTATCTCCAGATTTTAACGTCACGTGACCCTCGACGTCATCTTTGTTGTAAGGCAAAAAAAAACATTCACCTCGATTTTCGTAACTTATTCTACCTTGTAACTCTTGACCGGTGCCTTCCGTTTTTATTTCCGTCGTCACGGTTCCCGTCACTCTCTCTTCACTCATGACCTGTATAACGAAATGGAGAAAACTAATGATAATAATAATAATAATAGTAATACAAAAAACAAACGCACACTTTTTGTTAGTATAAAAAAAAATAAAAAAAATTTTTTTTCGAAACTTACAACACCCACCACTTCTGGAGCTATTTTCGAAACGGCGCTCGCAATGGGTTTTCCAGTTCTACGATCGTAAGACATTTCAAATTCGACGGGATCCCCTATTTTAAGATGTTCGATATTTCCGCTAAATTGACTAAAATGAAAAAATAGACGAGCTTGCCTTTCGCAACATTGAATAAAACCATAAGAGTGCTGAAATAGAGAGAAAGAAAATTCAATCAATCCACAGGAAAATTTACAATTAAAAAACTTTTTTCCCCCCCCGTTTTAAATCATCATCATCATTCAATCTCACCAATAATTTTTCAATAATTCCAGTCTCCCTTATTCCCTGATTGGCAGCATTTGAATCTGATACGTCATTGTTAGAATTTGAATTTGTGTTTGAGTTCGTACCCGTCGTACCCGAATCGAATTGTGAATTGTTAGCAGCAGCAGCAGGAGCAACAACAACAGACGAAGAAGAAGAAGAAGACATGTTCGATGACGTCACGTTGTTCGAACCGAACAAATCCCCGTTCACGGCATACACGGATGAATTCCCGGTCGATCGTTGTTGTTCAGACAGGGAAAATGTCCCGATCGGGAATGTCATTGTTGAACTTCCATTGTACGTATTGAAATTAAAAGGCATCGACGAGGGTTTTCCAAATAGTAAATTCGATGCGTCCTTGTTCCCCATCGAGGCCTTTAAAAATAAAACAAACTCTTTCGTTAATACGTTCTTTCGCAACAACAAAAATACCTGATTATCTTTTTATTGTATCGTACCTGAAACGAATTATTGAGTCCCCGATAATTTGATTGATCGTCATTTATATTTGATAATGTTTTAAAATCGAGAATCGATGGATCCGAATTCATAATTGGCGGCTGGAATTTACTCCACTGAGGATTCGTCGACATGTTTTCTCTATAAATTTCCCTTATTTTCTTATTTCCTTCTTTTTCTTTTTTCCTACCCCCCTTTTTCTCTCTTCTTCTACTCCTTCCTCTTCTTATTCTTCTTTTTTATTAACTCGAACAACTTTTTCCGATTTAAAAAAAAAAAAAAAAAAAAAAAATTTTAACAATGGTAAAGTTTAGTTTTAGTTTTTAATTTTTCACTTGAAAATTTATTATTATTATTATTATTATTATTATTATTATTGATTTATTTCGTCATATTTACTCTCCCCGTTTGCAGTATAACAATTTTAATACTATTAATACTTTTTTTTACTCGTTTTTTTTTTTTATTTTTTTTCTTCTAAATAATGTTCAATTTTAACATATCACAGAAAGTTATTCTTTTCTTTTCTTTATATAAATTTATATACATGCGTTCAAGAGCACACGCACACGCACACGCACACACACACACTCGCACAAACTCGTGCGTGTATATATATATAAATTTATATTTAGTAAATATTTATAATTAATTAACCAAGCGTATGTTTAGTCTATTACTTATACTGACAATTATTATTATTATTAGTCAATTAGTAACAAAGTTCGAAACAAGGCCTTCAGGTGTGTAAATGTATATATATATTTTTTTTCTACCAAGATAATAATAATAATAATACGCGGTTGTCGATGAAAACAAATTAAAGAAGAAAGAAATCAAAATAAGATGAATATATATAAAAAAAAAATTCAAATACCTAATTATTAATTACTTCGCAAAACCATTTTTTTCAACGTTCATTATCATCATCATCATCATCATCTCAAATCGTACAGTTTGTTTCTTTATGCAGAGAGAGAGAGAAAAACAATTTCAATATAAAATATTTCAATTTGAAGACCACTTGAAATTCTTCTTCTTATAAAGTCTCCTCATTCAATAATAATAATAATAATAAAAAATAAAATTATATAACTATCACACTTAAAGCGTTTACCACCCGAAATTTGGTCGAATAAAACAAAGCAAAATAATAATAATAATAATAAATTGATTTTCTTCCTTATTTCTCTTTACTTTTTACTTTTTACTTTGTGTCCTTTTTATTTTCCTTCTTCTTCTTCTTCTTTAACTTCTTCAACTTTTTCTTTTTTTTTTTTTTTTTTTAAATTCTTTGTTTAAAGCACCAAAAAAATAAAATAAAATAATAATAATAATAATAATAATAATAATAATGTAAAAATAACCAAAAAAACACTTGAAGAGAAGAAAAAAAAAAAAAAAAAAAAAAATGTCAATCGCGCGAAAAATCCATCACACACACAACAGTTCACAAATGTTTATACTTGTTTTTCCTTTTTCCTTTTTTTTTTTTTACTACTTCTTGACACACAAACTCACTTTTTTTCACTTTTTCTTTCTCTTTTTTAATTAATAAAACTTAATTTTTTTATGTAAGCATTAATTATAACGTTGATTGATTGATTGATTGATTGATTATTTCAGCTTTGATGAAGTTTTAAAATAACTGAAAAAAAAAAAAAACAAAAAAACAAAGAGATAAAAAAACTTGAAAGCTTCCTTTTGAATAAAAATAATGATAATAATAAAACAGTAGTAAATTTTTCAACCCTCTAAATCGAGAGAATGGGGAGAGAGAGAGAGAGAAAGGGAGGAAGAGAGAGAGAGAGAAAGAGAGAGAGAAAGAGAGAAAGAGAGAGAGAAAAAATATAAAAAAACACAAACTTTCGATAACGAGAATTTCCATTACACGTACCAATTTCCAAATTTCCTTTTTTTCTTTTTCCTTTGATTTGTTTTTGGTGTTTGTTTGTTTGTTTGTTTCTTAATATTCCCCTTCCTTCCTTCCTTCCTTCCTTTCTTTTCCTTCCTTTTCTTCTTTTTATTAAAAAAAAAAATTTGTTGTTAGAGATTTTTTTTTCTTCCGGGTTAACTAATTCAAACTAATCCTCAGATGTCTGTTCAGATGTATGCTGGTTTTGCGTTTGCTCGAATGTTAAAATTTTCTTTTTTTCCTTTTAACTTCTTTTTTTTTTTAATAAATATATATTTATATATATATATTGTTTTATATTATTATTTTTATCACACTTGGCTTGTACTTTATATATAAAATAAACGAGAAAAAAAAAAAAAAAAATGCTTGAGCAATTAACTTGGTGGCGTCGTTCTCATCACTAGATTAAATATATATATATATATATACTATAATGTTAATAATTTTTTTTCTTTTTCCTCTTAATTTTTTTTCTCTTTTCTTTTAATAAAAATGTAAATCTTATTTTATTATTATTATTATTGTTATTAATATTATTATTAAATCTTCTTTTTATTAATTTTTTTTTTTTTTTTTTTTTTTACAAACTATTATAATAAATCAGTCATTGCTTTATTCCCTAATATTAAATGGCTTGATATTTTGGTTTTAATTGCTGAGATAATAGATTAATAATAATAATAATAATAATAATTGTTTCTTATTTTTTTTTTCTTTCTTCTAAAACTACTGGATACAAATGCTGAAAAGAAAATAATAATAATAAATTAATTAAATGGATTTGGATTTTTTTTTTTTTTAAATCGAAAATAAATTAATCTTAAATAATCGTAATAAAAAAGATGACAAATTGTCCTTTTGTAAAAAAAAAAAAATATCCTTTTATGGATATGTCGAAAAGGTTTTGTAACCTTAGCCGTTATTTATCACACACTCATCATAATCAGATTGAGAAATTGTAAAACAGTTTTTTTCTTTTTTTTTTTTTTAAAAATAATGTTTATTGTGTTTGTGTGTGTGTGTGTGATGCACTAAACGATAAAGAACACAATTGTTTATAGTTATATAGAAAACTGAATTAACTCATTTAATTTTAAATATTAATAATATTTCAACAAATTTAAACAATTTAAAATACTTACCAAAAAAAATTTTTTATTTTAAAAAGTAAGTTAAAGTAAAAATTTACAAAGAATTAATATACATATACAATGCATTTCACTAATAGGAAAAAAAATTTTTTTTTTTTTTTTTTTTTTAAATTCAGCAGGTTATATTTAATAAAGCTCACGGAAGAAATTAATAATTATATTCGGTGCGTAAAATAAAAAAATAACTAAATGAAAAAAAAAAAAAGAACTCGTTTAAATGAGATTTAATAAATAAAAAAAAATAAAAAAAAAAAAAAAACTAGTAAGAGCAAGCTAATGCAAGTTAGGTCAAACGATGAGAGACAAAAAGAATTTCCAATTGAAAAATGGGTCTCATCTTCTATGTGATTTTATAACGAAAAAAAAATCGAATTAAATAACCGTGTGTAAATCGTATAAATTGAATTTTAACACGCGTTATAACATTATTATCATTTATGTAACGTTTGATTACGAATTATACGAGTAAAATTGTTAAAAAAATGTAAAAATGTACTTACCACGACGCAGCATAGCACTGACGACATGCCGCCATGTTGGATGTCATGATATTTCAAGCGGAAGTTTTATAAACCAAACCATCTCACCACCTTGTCTTAGAGTAAAATGAATTTTTTTTTAACGTGCGTAACGTTTTTTAAATACCCTTTTGACATTGAGCGCGCCAATAACTACGTCATAAAAACAAACATGGAATCAATTTATTTTGAGAAGGTTTGTTTTTTGATATTTACAATAAAAAAATATATTTAAACATTTCTTAATAATTATTTTTAATTATATAATTTTAATTATAAATTTTTCAATTTTTCTTCATCCTAATCGTAAATTACATAAAAGTTTTATTTGTTTTTAGCAAGAAGGTTCCTTGTGCGCTCAACATTGCCTTAATGCATTACTACAGGGACCTTATTTCACTGCCGTTGATTTGGCAATGCACGCACAAAATTTAGACGATGAAGAAAGGATAAGAATGGCAGAATCAGGGATAGATAGTATTGAATATAGAAATTTTTTAGAGGTTCATAATACAATTAACAATTATTCACATTCAAAAATTTTATTATTTTCTTCACTTTTAAACATATAAATCTCGTTTTTACATTTTATGACATACAATTCTTATCTAATTTTTATTTAATAATAAAAAAGTTAAAAAGATTTCTAAAATGATTACATTGCATTTTTAATTCCAGCAACCTTCTGGAAATATGGATGATAGCGGTTATTTTTCCGTTCAAGTTATCAGCAGTTGTTTATCCGTTTGGGGTTTGGAATTAGTTAGATATGGTAGTACGGAAAAAAAAGCTCTCGAAGCTAAACAAAATCCAGAGTAAGAAAATTAATAATTTTTCCCCCCCCCCCTTAATTTTTTTTTTTTTTTTTAAAAAATATCTATTCGAAATTAATATTTTTTTTTGTAATGTTGTTACATTTAGGTTGATGAAAGCTTATATTTGTAATTATAAAGATCATTGGTTTACAGTAAGAAAATTAGCTCATCAATGGTTTAATTTAAATTCATTATCATCAGGTCCGAAATTAATATCGAATACTTATTTAGGAATGTTTTTAGCACAGCTTCAACAAGAAGGTTTTTTCATATTTTTTTAATCAAATTCTCTCTCTCTCTCTCTCTCTCTGTAAATTTTTCTTTTTATACATTTTTTTTTTTTTTTTTTTTTTTAACAATTTACAGGTTATTCAATATTTGTAGTTTTGGGAGATTTTCCACAATGCGAAGCAGATTTAGTATTAAAAGTTAAACCAGTGAGTCAAACAAATGTAGATAATCCAGGACCCTCTACGAAAAATTCAGGTTGATAATAATAATAAATAATTTTTTATGATTTGTTTCAAAGCATCCATGATTCGTTTAAACAAAATGGCTTCAGTGGATTTTTTTTTTTTTTAATCAGGTCATCAAATCAAACCTTTCCAAGGTGTCGGTTATCAATTGGGAACTAGTAATCAAGTTAAACCCTACGATTCGAATGACGATTTACAAAGAGCCTTACAGTTGAGCCTTACAGCAGAAGACAATCAAACGGAAGATGTCGAAATGAAAAGAGCCATAGAACTTAGTCTGAGAGCAACAACTTCGAGTCATTCTCTTGGTAATGAGTCAAATGAAAAACAAAAAACAAAAAAATAACCAAAAATAAATAAAATTGTCATTTTCCAAAAAAAAATTTGTTTTCTCTCTTAAAAAAAAAAAAAAAAAAAATTTTTTTTATGATGAATAAATAAATAAAAAATAAAAATAAAAATTTCAGCTTCGTCCGATAGAACGTCGTCGTCTCTGTCGAAAATGAGTTCGGATGATGCAACAGCAGCCGACGACCCGGATTTACAAAGAGCATTAACGATGAGTCTGGAATGTATGGATTCGGAAGAGATGAAAAGAAAACGATTGGCGTATTTTGAAAAATTCACTAATGCTAGGGCTTCCACATAATAATAATGATGATAATGATAATAATAATGATAATAATATTCGTTAATTCGCCGCTTATTATTATTATTTCTCACATAATTATGCACACGTATAGACTTTACGAGAGAGAGAGAGAGAGAGTGAGGGAGAGAAAAAATATTTTTTTAAACACTTTAAATAACCGTCAGGAACTTTTATTATTTTTATAATAATATATATATATATATATATACATACATACATATATTTATTTAATTAAAAAAAAAAAAAAAACCGCCTAAATTTTCCGACTCGAAGGGAATGGGGGAATATAATAATAATAATAATAATAATAATAAAAAAGATGAAACCATCATGCGAAATCCAGAAAACTCGGCCCACTAATTTTTTTTTTTTTTTTTTTTTTTTTTTTTTTTTTTTACGACGAGTTTTACGTTTGGAAAAACAAGAAAAGTCCCTCTCCCCCCCCCCCCCCAAAAAAAAAAAAAAATCAATAAGTAGCAAATAACAATTTTTTCGCTTTTTTCCCCTTTTTCCCTTTTTTTAACCCTTATTAAAATTAATCGAATCATTCGCAAGCAAACAAACAAACAAACAAACGAAAAGGGATAATATCGATAAGTAAGCAATTCACGTTAAGTAAAAAAAAAGGTCAATGCCCTCACTGCAGGGTACTACTATCTGATAAAATTGATAAGACGAAAAAAAATACAAAAATTTCCTAATGGATTTACACGTGTAATTATTATTATTATTATTATTATTATTATTATTACATTATTGATTTACATATTTTGTTTCGTGGTTGTTGTTGTTGTTGTTGTTATTTCCATTTAATTTTATTATACATATTTACAAATTAATAAACGCCATACTTATTGTCTATTTTGTTCTTTGTTTATACCCGTAGTATAAAATATATGAAACGAGTGCTTTAAGGTACAGAAATCTCAATAAACCCCCCGGAGCCCCCCGGAACAAAAGATTATTTACATACCTCAACGATAAGAGTGTATCATCTCCTTCGTCTTTGAAAACTTTCCATTCCTTTTTGCTGACTTTATTTAAACAATCGGAGGTACGTTATTAATAACTTTTCCACTCTCTCCCGTGCAATACGAATTCTAAAAAAAAAACAAAAGATTAATTAGACCAATTTCGACTCTCAAACGCTTTTCTTTTTTTTGTAAAAGATTTAGATGATAACCTTTAAAAAGGAATGACAACATTTATATCCCCATTGTCCATTTTTCCAATAGGAACCGAAAACGGAAGAATGATTTCCGGGGAAAACATCTTCTTCGTATTTACTCCTAATCACTGGTTTTTCTTCACCCTAATAATTAAAATGATTATTATGATTATTATTATTATTATTATTACCGTTACTCTTATTAATTATTATTATGACGTAACGAAGAAAAATTAAATGTCAAAACTAACCTTTATAACTTTACCGTATCTGGAATATTCGACGTAATGTTCGGTTTGAGCAAGGAGCAAACTCTTGGGGGGAGCTTTCAAATGTTCTTCGCCGCCATCTTTTCCCAATATGTTTGTTTGCACGTCATTTTTAAATTCGTCTTTCTTCTTATCGTAAACTTTTTGCAACATTTCGAGTTTTGTGGGTTCGGCCAACAAATGAACATCGACGCCCTTTTCGTACGCGTCCCAGGCAAACTTTTGTGCTTGAGCGTGTTTTCTAGTGTCTCCGGTAAATCTCACAAAATTTTCTCCAGCGTAATCCGCACTGTAAAAATTTTTTAACGGTTTGTTTCACTAATCAATTTATTATTATCATCATCATTACTACCATCATTATTTAAAAAAAAACTCACTCTTCTGCATTCGTGTCGTTATTAACATCAGGATTGTCTCTCATCGATCTTGTCTTGGGATCATAATAAGCCGAACTAGGATCCAAGTTTCTAAGATATTTTGCCGTATCTTCTCTTATCCTTAAATTTCTAACTGTTATCCTTTGTTTACTGTCTACTTTCGTTCCAGGCATATCAAAATCATCGACATATTTATCCTCGTCATCTTCGCCTTCACCCTCAGCCTCTTCGGTCTCCTAAAAATATTTAAATAAATTTTTACAAATAATAATAATAATAATAATAATTATCGAGTGATTTAAATACCCACCATTCCATCAGCATTGTTTAACTTTTCAGCTCTTAACTGATGTTTGGCATCTTCAATTTTTTGATATTCTTCAATGATACTTTTATGTTGTGACGGATCATAACCAGCCCACCTATCCCGTTTTCCATCGAAATCTAATGCTAAATCAGGTTGTATAAATTCATCATATCCTATTTTAACTCCACTATATTTAGCACCAATTTTTCTAGGCCTTTCCATACAGTCTTTTTTTTTATGAGTCATGGCACCACAATTTTCGCATGCTCCTTTTCGATATTTAGTATATGATTTAGACTAAAATACATATTATTAAATAAAATGTGAAATTTTTCCAATAAAAAAAAAGTGGAAATAATAAATAACCTTACTTTGTCCGTTCCTCTTTTATACCATTCATCTAATTTAGAATATTCTTTTCTTTTTTCCGGTTGAGGTCTTTGATGTTTTAGTGTAGGTCCTTTAGATCCAAAATACCACGGAGCGGATGATATATATTGGGGAATGTGAGGGTTTATGTCTTTTCCCTCTTCATCTACAGCTGCAGGAGCAGTTCCTGCCTATGAAAAAATAATTACAAATGAAATACACTCAAGAAAAAATTAATATAAACAATTTCAAAGGGGGCAAAACAAATTGATCCTTACTTTTCTAGCTTCTTCTAATTCTTTAGCCTTTCTCCAATCTTCTCTTGATTTTTTCTTAGGTTCATCATCTATATCTAAACTATCTGAATTTGATTTACTTCGAAGGATTTCCGATACGGGAATATTTTGTGCAGACATTATTCACAAAACATGAGAGATTATAATTTTTTATCTCTCTCTCTCTCTCTCTCTCTCTATCTATCTACTATCGAATCTATCTAAAATAATAATAAAAATAGAAAAAGAGAGAAAAAATTCACACGTCTATTGCACAAATCACTTTGAATTAAAAAAACTTAACAGAAAAATGGCCATTGAAATTCGTGACCATAGACGTAAATTAAACAAACGGCATAACAACTTTTAATTTTTTCCAATGGAAACCATAGAGTAATAAAACCATCGACATACACACAAAATATAAATCTCGAATAACGATGAGAAAAAAATACGTACTCGTAAAAATTTATTTATTAAATTTTATTTAAATTAAAAATAAAAATTTTAAATGATAAAATAATAATAAACCAATCACTTATTTAAAAAAAAAATTTATAAATTACGTAATTTAGAAATATAATTATAATAATAATAAACTCAGTCTTTTTTCCAAAACAAAATTAAATACGTAAATAATAATAATAATAATAACAATATTTAATAATACTTTAAACGGAAAAAAAATTAATAATTAAAAAATAAATTGTTTAATTTGACACAAGGACGCCATTGTTTTATTTTTACATGAAAATTGTCCCCACTGTCCTCGATTATTTAATCCCCAACAATTTCTCAATGAATTATTATTATTATTATTATTATTATTACGATATTGAATTATTTCCGGTGAAAATGTTTTCTGTGGAAGTACGTCGTTTCCTACAATAATAATAATAATAATTTTAATTTTAATGGAATCGTACGAGCGTTCATTTTCAATAGGAAAATTCGATATAATACCTGAATACCCGTGAGGTTTTATTGAATTTTTCGCCGGGAAATTTTTAAAATTAATCCAAGCCCATTGAATTTGAAAACGTGATAATAATTTTGCCGCCAAATCGTTCGACATCAATTTATCAATCATGATCAATTGTGCATTTTGTTCTTTGCACAAATCATCAGCCTCGGCATAATTTTTTTCCAATTTTATTAGGCCTATGCAAGAATCGGATTTCGA